GATACCCAAGTATTCTACCTGAAAAAAGTCTAGCCTGAACTGGCACAATATCACAACAGTCTAAAGTTTCCTGAAATTAAAATGCTGAGCCTGAAAATACTGGGATAGTCTTGATCTGCCATGGACATCACACCCTTCCCCAAAATACATACGAATTCCCACTTGACCAAAGATCCAAACTGACCACTCAAGTTTTATTTTTTCTCTTTCATTTCATTTCTTTTTTTTTTTTTTTAATTGGTATAGGGATGGCTAGACAATCTAGGGATAGAGAGAGATGTGCCTTTTACTTTCATAGTCTTCCCTATAATTACAAGTGGCCTGGTATGGCCAAAAGAGCACTGGGCACTCTAATTCAAGCTAGCCATTCTGGAACCTCTATTTCCTCATCTGTAAAAGGACTGAATTAGACTGTATGATCTCCTCCACTATCTCCAGTTCCAGTTACATAAATGTCTTATAAACAATACACGCAAAATCTAGCATCTTCTCTAGACCCTCCGTGTTCCCTGACAGAGACTACCAAGTGTCCAAGCTAAAAACCTAGAATTACACCTGCTTCCTCCCCCCCGGCTCACCTTCATCCTTCACCTCACCCAAATCCTGTAACCTCTGGCACATAACATTCAATATTGGTCATCATTCCCACATTTCCAGCCTGAATCTCTCCTCTGAATACCGCAAACATAAGCAATCACCTTCTTGATGTCTCCGCAGGTATGACCAACAGACCTTTCACTCAATGATTTCTGAAACGGCGTGGGTGTCCCAAACCTATTCCAAACCCCATTATTCCAATTGCTCAGGCCAAAAAACTTAGTGTCACCCTTGACTCCTTCCCCATTCATTACAAAAGCAGTTCTGTTTGCTCTACCTTGAGAATATGTCCAGAATTCTATCACCTCTTATTAGCCACCCCGTGCCACCATCACCTCCTGTACCCCCCAGCACAGCAGCCCAAATAATTCATCATTAAAAAACACAAAAATTGTTAAAATAGGCTGTATGCCCAGTGTGGAGCCCAATGTGGAGCTTGAACTCAGGATTAAGACCTGAGCTGAGATCAGGAGTTGGACACTTAACTGACTGAGCCACCTAGGCACCCCCAGAATGAGTCTTTAAAATATGAGATCATGTCATGCTTCAGCTCAAAATCCCCCATTAGCTTCTCACCTAAAACTTAAAGCTAAAGTCCTTACCATGAATTAGAAGGCCTTATGTAATCCAGTCTTCTTACCCAACCTTACTACCTGCCTTAGAGTTCTTCAGAGAAACAGAACCAGTAGGAGATTTCATATACATACATATATAATATATAAAAGGAGGGATAATATTTCAAGGAGTTGAAGAATTGGCTCACATTATTGAGGGAGGCTAGCAACTCTGAAACCTGTGGGAGGCTGGCAGGCTAGAAACTCTTGGGCAAAAGTTGGTGCTACAGTCTTAAGGCAGAATTTCTTCCGACTCAGGGTATCTTAGTCAGTTCAGGCTGTTACAGCACAATACCAAAGACCAGGTGGATTTTAAGCAACTCAAATTTTCCTCCCAGTTCTAAAGACTGGGAGTTCCAAAATCAAGCCACCAGGACTTAGCATCTGGGGAAAGCCTGCCTTCTGATTCACAGCCAACCAGCCTGTCTTCTTGCTGTGTCCTCACATGGCAGAAGGGACAAGGGAGCTGTCTGGGATCTCTCTTACAAGAATCCTAACCCCATTCATGAGGGCTCCATCCTTTTGAACTAATCATCTCCGCATACCATTACTTTGAGGATTAAGTTTCATTATACCAACATTCAGTCTACAGCACAGACTCCTCCCAGTCCTCGGATGTTCCATGATCTCTCACCTCCCAGTGACTCTACACGTGGTTTCCTGTATCTGGAACATCCTTCCCCATGTGGCCAACCCCTACTCCCCCGTTAGGTCCCATTTAAGACTCAGCTCCTACCCTCCCCCCATCCTCAGGTCTGGTGATGCTCACAGATCACCTTACATTTAGGACCTTCATAGCCCTTTGCACCAGGTGGAGAGTAAAGAAAGAGGCAAGAGATTTCTCTCCTCCTAAGGAAATGGGGAGCCAGAAAACAGAGGTGATCACTGTGTAATGCTTTGACGGTATGATATGAAAGATGGGATAGCAAACAGGAGTGGGGAGGAAAAACCTTTCGCAGAATATTTTTACAATGGTAGAGAACAGAAAGTAGTTTAAAGCCAAAGAGAAATCCTGTAGGTAGGAAGAAGTTGGAATTGATAGGGAAAGAATAATCAGAGGAATAAGGAAAGAAATACTGAGATGTCCATTCTAGAGATCAAGACCCTCTCTTTGCTACTATAAGGAAAGAAGTTGGATTGATATGCAGAGGTGAAGCAAGGGGTTTCATAAATTAAAAATACACTGAGAATGGCCACGGTCACCAAACTGTGGAAAGAACCAAGATGCCCTTCAATGGACGAATGGGTAAGGAAGATGTGGTCCATATACACTATGGAGTATTATGCCTCCAGGAAGGATGAATACCCAACTTTTGTAGCAACATGGACGGGACTGGCAGAGATTATGCTGAGTGAAATAACTCAAGCAGAGAGAGTCAATTATCATATGGTTTCACTTATTTGTGGAGCATAACAACACAGAGGACATGGGGAGATGGAGAGGAGAAAGGAGTTGAGGGAAATTGGAAGGGGAGGTGAACCATGAGAGACTATGGACTCTGAAAAACAATCTGAGGGTTTTGAAGGGGCGGGGGTGGGAGGTTGGGGGAGCCAGGTGGTGGGTATTAAGGAGAGCACGGGTTGCATGGAGCACTGGGTGTGGTGCAGAAACAATGAATTCTGTTACACTGAATAGAAATAAAAAACAAAACAAAACAAAACAAATACTCTGGGGCTGAACACGAAGCTTGTTTGGATAGAAACTAGGCTCCAGGGCACCTGGGGGGCTCAGTTGGTTAAGCATCTGCCTTCAGCTCAGGTCATGAACCCAGGATCCTGGGATAGAGCCTAGTCAGGCTCCCTGCTCAGTGGGGAGTTTGCTGTTCTCTGTCCCTCTGCCCCTCTCCACTGCTTGTGCACTCGCTCTCTCTCAAATAAATAAATAAAATCTTAAAAAAAAAAAAAAAAAGACAAACTACGTTTAGGAGCCTCAAGAAATTTATAAGACATTTAAGATTACCTAATACTGCTTTATCAGTTTGGCAATACGCAGAACCTTTGATGATGTACTAATGAGCGCTCCAGAAAGGAGGGAAGAAGTATTTATTTGAAGAGATTTTTAAAAAAATTATTTTAATTGACATATAATGTATTATTTGCCCCAGGGGTACAGGTCTGTGAATCATCAGTCTTATACATTTCATAGCACTCAGCATAGCACATACCCTCCCCAATGTCCATAACCCGGCCACTCTATCCATCTCCCCCACTCCCCAGCAGCCCTCAGTTCGTTTTGTGAGATTAAGAGTCTCTTATGGTTTGTCTCCTTCCCGCTCCCATCTTGTTTCATTTCTTTTCCCTCCCTACCCACCATGACCCCCCACCCACCTCTCGAATTCCTCATATCAGAGAGATCATATGATAGTTCTTTCTCTGATTGACTTATTTCACTTAGCATAACACCCTCTAGTTCCATCCATGTCGTTGCAAATGGCAAGATTTGGGGGGTTTGTTGGCTGCATAGTATCCCATTGTGTATATACACTACATTATTTGAAGAGATCATATTCCTCAACTTGAACATGGCAGATTACTATAGTTAGACTAAGCAAACAGTGGATTATAGTAATGTACATAAATCCTCTTTCTCATTTCATGGTCTCCAAAGAAAGAATGGTATTTCCTGATAACTAAGGTTCCAAACTCTCTGTCCCTGAGTATTTGACTAATTTAGGTCATTTAAGTGGAGTCATGCAATATTTGTCCTTTTGTGGCCCTCATTTCACCTAGCATGTTTGGAAGGTTCATGAATGTTGTAGCGTGTATCAGAAATGCATTCATTTTTAGAAAGGAATAATATGCCCTTGTATGTTTCTAATACATTTTGTTTATCCATTCATCCGTTCATGGACACCTGAGTTGTTTCTACTCTGGGGGTGTCGGAAGTCGCACCACTTTTATTGCTTCTCGGCCTTTTGGCTAAGACCAAGTGCAAGTCGTACCACTTTTTTTTTTTAATATTTTATGTATTTATTTGAGAGAGAGAGAGAGAGAAACAGTGAGAGAGAGCATGAGCAAGGAGAAGGTCAGAGGGAGAAGCAGACTCCCTGTGGAGCTGGGAGCCTGATTCGGAACTCGATCCCGGGACTCCAGGATCATGACCTGAGCTGAAGGCAGTCGCTTAACCAACTGAGCCACCCAGGCGCCCGCAAGTCGTACCATTTTTAAGTGCAGTCTTGGCTCCTGAGCTAATGCTCATTCCCATAGTATCACAGAGGGAACTGATTGCTTTATAGAACCTCCAATCTCCTCCAAATTTAAGAGGTTTTCAGAGAAATTAGCACCTCCTGTAAAATAAGTAGTTCACAGAAATATTGATGCTGAGCTTTCCTGAATAAATGAATCACACTAGGGTTGGTTGGCCCGTATTTAAGTCTCCTAAAGATAATATCTCTCCTTTCTCCTTTTCCTTCAATTAAACACACACACACACACACACACACACACTGGTTTACAGAGAGATACCAAGAGACGAGCAAAACACCATTAGCTGATGCGCTCTCTCTGGAATTATTTCTAGAGGGGAAACTTCCCTGTGCAACATAGCACACAACTGCTTCTCAGTAAGCCAGTCCAAAGAGCACTTCTTCCAGTGTCCCTGTGCCAAGCTTTCAGTAACAATTGCATCACTTCCAAACTCAGGTGTTTCTAATCTACTAGAACACGTGGACAAAGCCTGCAGCAAACCTGGCTTACTTCTGCCAGGTCCATCCACACCTGGAGCACAGCTCTTCCCGGGAGCTCTGTGGAGAGGGTGGCTCTCTGCTGGCGTTAGACGAGGATAGAGCCAGAGAGGAATACAGAGCAGAGCCATGAATATTATCCTGGATCTCCTCCTGCTCCTGCTCACCATTATCTACTCCTACTTGGAGGCACTGGTGAAGGTTTTCTTTCCCCGAAGGAGAAAATCGGTGGCTGGGGAGATCGTTCTCATTACAGGATCTGGGCATGGAATCGGGAGGTGGACTGCATACGAATTTGCAAAACGGAAGAGCCGACTGGTTCTGTGGGATATTAATAAGGTAACGTATTCACGTGCCCATCTTTTGAAGTCACAAGTAAGACATATGTTGTAAAAATTATTTAACTTAGCAATTGCTTACCTTTGTATTTTTCTTTTTCAACGTTTAATAAATTCTCCAGTGCCATATTCTACATATGTATTGGGATGGTTTGACAAAGGGAACATAATTGAGAACTAAGCAGTGATTTTTTTTTTAAAGATTTTATTTATTTATTTGAGAGCAAGACAGTGAGAGAGATCATGAGCGAGGAGAAGGTCAGAGGGAGAAGCAGACTCCCCATGGAGCTGGGAGCCCGATGTGGGACTCGATCCCGGGACTCCAGGATCACGACCTGAGCTGAAGGCAGTCGTCCAACCAACTGAGCCACCCAGGCGTCCCAGCAGTGATTTTTTTTAATGCCATGATATGCAGGTTGATAACACGGACTCGGAGCCAGGCTACTTCCAAGCTTCCCCGTTTCCTTATCATTTTTTTTTTAAGATTTTATTTATTTATTTGAGAGAGAGAGAGCAAACATGAGCAGGGAGGAAGGGTTGGGAGAGAGAGAAGCAGGCACCCCACTGAGCAAGGAGCCCAGTGCCGAACTCAATCTCAAGACACTGGGACCATGACTTGAGCTGAAGGCAGATGCTTAACCAACTGAGCCTCCCAGTTGCCCCACCGTTTCCTTCTCTTTGAGATTTTTTTTTTTAAGATTTTTTTTTTTTTAATTTTATTTGACACAGAGAGAGAGATCACAAGTAGGCAGAGAGGCAGGCAGAGAGAGAGGGGGAAGCAGGCTCCCTGCTAAGCAGAGAGAGCCTGAGGTGGGGCTCGATCCCAGGACCCTGGTATCATGACCTGAGCCGAAGGCAGAGGCTTCACCCACTGAGACACCCAGGCGCCCCTAGGAATGTTTTTTACATTGTTAAAAGCATGTCAAACAAGGCAAAAACCAAATAAACAAAGAAGAACATATGATAGAACCTCTTAGTGCCTTCCCTCACATGCACACCATCCTAAAATATTTACTCTGGCAATTTACACAATAGTTTGTGGACTCCTAGGCAAGAGGATTAAACAAGTGAATATTAAACAAGTGAATGCTAGGCCATAGTAAACATTAGTCGTGTTAAATAAAACCCACAACCAGTGGGTCGGGCTTTCTCTTGAGTATTCATATTTTTCTTGTACTGTTATTTGTAAACACTATATTAGCTACTCAGAACTGAAATAACTGAAATTTTGTATCATTTCTCCTAAACTTATGAATTCTGGTAAGGCCATGAAAATATACACAGAAAAATGTTGCAGGATTTTAAGATTGGAAAAACTAAAGTTTTTTTTAAGAATCAGGTTTTCCACAAATCACAATGAGATCTTAACTGCCATCGTATTACTACTCTCTGATGTTCTTTGCTATCGTGTCCAGTTGGCCCCTGCTTCTTAAAGCCTTCAGAAATGTCACTTGGGGGCACCTGGCTGACTCAGTCAATGGAGCACGTGACTCTTGATCTTGGGGTCTAAATCCAAGCCCCACACTGAGGGTAGAGATTACTTAAAAGTAAAATCTCTAAAAAGAAAGGTCACTTGAACTTAGAAAAGTAGTTCTTTTCTGGTTCCTTCCAGACACTAAGGATACTATACAAGGAAAAGTTGACACATTTCTGTGTAACAGACCCAGGCATTTAATAGATGAGTTGATGTACATGAAAGTGATTTGGCTTCAGTTTGGTCCATGAAGAGATTCCAGTGCAGTCTTTAGAAAAGGACAAGAATTTAAATTGAGAAAACTTGTCTGCTGTTCTCAAGCATTCATCAAAAAAAGAGAACTAAGTATAAATCCATGAAAAAGACTTGATAAAATCTAACCTTTGGATCTTTCCAGATGTGTGTTTTGGGGGAGAGAATTCACACTTAATTACATTTTTAAAGTTCCAGTGACAAAGAAAAAAAAATTGACTTATTTAAGATTCTGCCTGAAGGATGAGTTGCCTCACCTCACAGGATTTCTTTGAATCCTTGAATTTTATGGTTAAACATTAAAGGTATTAAACGATTTACTCTAGGGCTACAAATGTAACTCAGATCTTCCTTACCTGTAGAAGGTCCCAACTCCTTTTTTGTTATGGCTGGCTTCTTTTGCCTGACCTAATGAATCATCTTAGCAGTTTCCCTCACTCAATCTGAACTGTTGCTTTAGGAAAACTCTGGAAAGTGGAGTAAACAACGCAAGCTGGAGTTGAAGCTAAAGCAACTATTTTGCTTACGAAAAGACAAGGCATTACATTTTGTAGTTCTATAGCTCGGTTGTAAGACTGACAAATTTTTAATTCTTCAATCAAAGCCTCTGAGGAAAGCTCTGGTGACCAGTGCTCTCTACTGACCATGAATCTAGAGACAAGAGAATGCATGGTGGTTCCTATAATTGGGCAATGAGCAAGCCACCAACTGAAGTAAAAATTGGGGAAAGAGCACCTGTCCTCCTTTACTCCTCTGCGACTCCCAAAAGACTATGAGGGGACATTGACTCTGTGACTATGTGTCCTAGTTTCTGTTCAGGTCTCTTCTTTGGGATTTCAAGCTACTGCTCTGGGGCATAGCCTGAAGTATTGGAATATGAAGGACCCCAGGGAGACAGGGATGGCTAAGGGAACCCACCTGTCACTCATTCAGGGACTGGCCCCCCCACCCCAAGCAACAGCCACACAACTAACAACTCATTGTGAGAAAAGGGTTTTCAGGTGTCCTTGCCTCTTAATCACAAAGAGTTTATAAGTCGTGAGAGGAAAAAGTGGAATTTTTAAAACCTTATAATCTTAATAAAATCAACAGAACTCAAAACTTGAAAAGAATTCTAATTTTCCAGAAATGCAGGTCGAGAAACAACAGGACAATTTTATTTTAGGAAGAAGGTCTTTGAATTCAGGCTGGAAATAAGTTTCTCCCTCTCCATGTCCTGCAATAGTTACAAAGTTACCACAAAGTTACTATATTTGCAAATTTGAGAAGACTATCCAGAGGCCCTCCCCCATTTTCACTCCAGAACACTCCCACACAAGATTATGTCCCCAAGAGTAGTTTGTCTCCCTATAAAAGTCTTCCTCAAATAAGGGTACTTCTTTCTCCTTCCCTCCTAGAGGGTTCAGTTAGAATCCTCAAGAAAACTATGACAGGCAGAGGCATAGACTTTAAAATTACCATCGTTTAGAATTGCTTTGCTACCTATTAAATGGTTGGTGCTCAATAAATATATGTAAAATGGAAAGCTGAGTGTTCTTTTCTCGTGTCCTCAAACATCTCCATTCATGACCCCACCAAGAGCAACATCTTTCAAGTGTGTTCTAGCTGTGAGAGTAGTCTGCTTTAGAAAAACTACCTCCTGGAGAACCCTCTAACCCAAGATAAAAAGCTAGAAAAACATGAAGGATCCCCCCCCCAACTTTGACAAAGAACGGCTGTTGAGAATAAAGCCAAACAAGGTGAAAACCCGTGACGGATGGGAGCACTGGCTGGCAGAAAAGTCAGGTAAAATCTCTTTGCACATTAAGCAAGCAGCGGCTCTCCTGAAACTTTCTTACAAACGAGGGGGCATTTTGGACATGAATTTTAATCTTTAAAGACATTTCTTCTCCAGTTCTTTCTCTCCCACTCTTGTCCCCTAACTGACCAACATCTTTCTGCGTTTATCCTTTCCGAGTACAGCGCGGTGTTGAGGAAACAGCAGCCGAATGCAGAAAACTGGGGGCCACTGCCCATGCCTATGTGGTGGACTGCGGTAACCGAGATGACATTTATAACTCTGTGAAGCAGGTGAGACTTCAGATGACACATTTCTTCAAATGATTTTGTGTCCATTGACATGGAAAATGTAGTTTCTTTCTGGCAGCCTGATTTTGATTACAACTGAGGAGGCTGCGTGAAGAAGGAAGGACATATATTATCTCCACTCAACTCTGGCTATTCCTATTGTTAAATATTAGGGTCAATTTCTTTGTGCTCAGAGGTTTGAGCAGTGGTGCGGAGTGACAGAGAAGAGTTTTATCCCCAGGAGAAAGGATCGCTTTCTAGTTTCATTTTAGTCCTATTACTTTGGCACTAATTCCTTTTTTTATCTGCAGTTTTTTTCCTCTGAGGGATTTTATTTATGTTGCTGGTAACCTAGCCTTCTATAGAAAATGTAATGTTAATAATATGACATTGTTTAAAAGAGTAGATATCAAATACAATGAACTGAGCACACTGATAAATGACTGCAGGCTTTACTCTCCCCAATAACCCTATTGACCTCATTTGACAGATAAGCAAACTGAGGTTCACAGGGGTTAGGCTGTCTGTGGGCACATGGCTAGTGGGTGGTAGGACCAAGATTACTTAGTTGTTGAAAAAACTATGACAGTGTTCCCTTGACATCCACTTTTTTTTTTTTTTAAGATTTATTTATTTGACAGAGAGAGATCACAAGTAGGCAGAGAGGCAGGCAGGGGGCAGGGGAGGGCTGGGGGAAGCAGGCTCCCTGCTGAGCAGAGAGCCGAATGTGGGGCTCCATCCCAAGACCCTGAGATCATGACCTGAGCCAAAGGCAGAGGCTTCACCCACTGAGCCACCCAGGCGCCCGACATCCACTTTTTGACTCAAGTTTTTGTCCTGCCTGAACTCTCAGAGATCTGATGGAGTTCAATAAAGAATCTAGTCCCTGAATGACCTCAGCCCTGAAACTTTGTTTCTTTTCTTTTTTTCAAAACATTGAGTTTCTATAACACATCCAGTGAATGTGTTTTTGTTTTTGTTTTCCATTTCAAAGGTAAAGAAAGAAGTGGGAGATGTGACCATCCTGGTGAATAACGCTGGGACAATATATCCAGCTGAACTTCTTAGTACCAAGGATGAAGAGATCACCAAAACTTTTGAGGTCAACATCCTGGGACATTTTTGGGTGAGTGTGAGAAGAGTTTCTGGTGTGTGGATATCTCACACTCCTCTTTAGGTGTAGTTAAGTTCACACCTTTATATTTGCCTTAAATCAAGAATCACCAAATTAATTTGAGTGGGAGTCTCTGACAGAAGGGCATGGAGTTTGAAGGGACACAGCTCACCAGAACGTAGGCTAGTTGGTCCGTCTTATACACCAGAACCTAACACAAAACATGCCCTGGATGGACCGAGTGCTCAATATATTTGTGGAGCTTTGCTAAGGGTTGTCCGTGTACATCTTTTCAGTGCTTTAGAGGAAATGTATACGATATACATTCAGTTGTGACTTCTACCATGGAATTTTAGAACTGAAAGGACAACATAAATCACTACTTGAATGTATATAGGGGTTAGGAACATTTCTGCACGGGACTCAGACAAGCTCTAGATCCGTGACAAAGTTAGATATATGGCTCTACAGACCTCTTATAATTGGTTATCGGAAGACTGGAAGGGGCGCCTGGATGGCTCAGTCGTTAAGCAGCTGCTTTTGGCTCAGGTCATGATCCCAGGGTTCTGGGATGGAGCTCCACACTGGGCTCCCTGCTCAGCAGGAAGCCTGCTTCCCCCTCTTCCACTCCGCCTGCTTGTGTACCCTCTCTTGCGGTGTCTGTCAAATAAATAAAATCTTAGGGGGAAAAAAAAAGGAGACTGAACTATGAGTTTGTAGAAAGCATTTACATGGATTTATCTTCCAGTGCCCCAATACTAAGTCTAGAGCCTAGAGCAAATCTGGATTCTGGAAGAGATGTGTCCCCCCCCCACCGCCCCCCACATCTGCCCAGCCCCCACACATACTAGTGAGGAATGATTATTATGCCCACCAAACTACATAGGGACCTCATGTGTTAGTTATCTATAGCTCCATAGCACATTATATCAAAATTTAACGGCTTAGAGCAACAATAAATGTTTGTTTTCGTTTCAGAGTTTGTGGGTCAGAAATTTGCAAGTGGCTTGGTTTGGCAGTTCTGGCTGTGAGAATTTGCCATAGGGTCCGTAGGGTGTGTTTATTTCGAAAAATAATGATACTTCTCACAAAACAGCAAAAGCTTTTTGGAGACAAAGAATGTCTTTCTGTTTCCTGTAACATCAACATGTAATACACAATGTCACAAATAGGGAGATACTAAATGTAATCATGATAGACCATGATTGTGGATAGGACAAAACTCAGCTTTTTCTACTTAACTTGATATAGTAACACAAGGTTTCAATTCTTCTGATTAGAATGATAAAGCTCCAAACCAAAAAGAAAAAAAGAAAAGATAAAAAAAAATTACATGATACCAGATTACCATAGGGGATATTTTCAGTTCTGAAAACACTAAATTTTTCCCTTGATATTATTCAGTTGACCTATCCATAAAAGAGATACTTGATTCCTTCTGAAGGAACAAGAGAGGAATTTTATTTTTAAGATTTTTGTTTATTGGGGCACCTGGGTGGCTCAGTCGGTTAAGTGTCTCCCTTCAGCTCAGGTCATGATCCCAAGGTCCAGGGATCAAGCCCCCAACTGGGCTCCCTGCTCAGCAGGGAACCTGCTTCTCCTTCTGCCCCTCACCCCACTCGTTCTCTGTCTTTCTCTCTCTCTCTCCCTCTCTCAAATAAAGAAAATATTTAAAAAAAGGTTTTTTAAACGTATTTATTTAGAGAGAGAGGGAGAGAGAGTGTACAGGAGCCTACAAGCACAGGGAGAGGCAGTGGGAGAGGGAGAGAAAGAATCGTGAGCACACTCTGCACTGAGCCTAGAACCCAACAAGGGCTCCATTTCGTGACCCTGAGATGGTGATCTGAGCCAAAATCAGGAGTCAGACACTTAACTGACCGAGCCTCCCAGGTCCCCCAAGGAAGAAGGGGGCGTATTAAAATGAGTTCTTAGCATGTGATATTTAGTACACAGTCCTCAATGCCAGCTTAAACAAATACATTTCCATCTTTTTCATTTCTGTCATTTACATGGAAGTGATCATGGAATATTGACACGTATTTCACGTCATCTTTAAAGTTGTCTCAAATGTTATTTTTTCTTAAAAAGAAAACTACCTAATTTAGATTCCTAATACCTGTACCATGTTTGTTTTTTTCTTTCTGCAATGATCTTTAAGATCACAAAAGCACTTCTTCCATCCATGATGAAGAGAAATCATGGCCACATTGTCACAGTGGCTTCAGTGTGTGGCCACGGAGTGATTCCTTATCTTATCCCATATTGGTAAGTAATATTTTCCAGCAATGACATACATACATATATATATATATATATATATATATATATATATATATATATATGGACTTTTAAGGGTTTATTAGACCTTAGATTCCAATCCTCGTCACAGGGTTATTTACAGAATTTACATAGTCATCTAGAATAAACTTTTAAAATGTCTCCTCCTAAAACAGTGAAACTGGTTGTATTGTTAAAATAGATTTCTGAAAGCTCCTCTGTAAAGCAATGAAATGTAATGCCTAGTATGTTTCCATTGTATCCTGGAAAGAGTTCATGTTGATAAAAGAAACAGGGACCCACAGACTAAGAAGTAAAACCTACAGTAGTCCAAATGAGCATAAATGGGTGCCGTCACCCGCATGCCCAAGATCAGCTCACCAGAGCGAGCCCTGGACCAAAACATTTTCCAGTGTGCTTGTGCCACGAAAGATGGTGTATGGATGAGAGAGAGAGAGGGACTGAGCCTCTAGCTGATTAAAAGATGCAGATAGTACATTCCATGATCTACCCCTTGGTAGACCAAAGAGAAAAGGTTGGGGGGGCCCCGAGGATATACTCTTTGCAAAATCTCTTTTTCTTGTAAATTCCTTCAATGGTATCTCTTTTCCTTACTTCGGCTTCATATCGACCTCATCGAAAAACTTGCTAACAGTTGGTCCAGTTCTTTTTATAACAGGCAACACATGAGTCTCAGTGGGAGGGTGTGGGTAATTAATAGATTTATTATGTACCTGGACATCATGATCAAGGTTAAACCGAGTCATGGACAAAATTACTTCTGACACTGAAAGCACCATAGTTACATTTCAGTGTCAGGGGTCATTGCACACACATAAGGGTTGTTTCAAGCTGCCTCTGCTATCTTAAAATATAAGAATTTCACAGATTAAACATTTGCTATTGTTTTAATGTTTAGGAACGTGGAAACCCAATGTCATAATACTTTTCTTTTTTCGCTTCTCCCTTAAGAAAGCAGCTGGCCTTTAATTTTACTGTTCTTATTGTCAACTGATTCAAAAATACAATGAACATTTATATAGATTCTTACAGGTAATGAAGTTATAAGGCATATATGCCAAACAATTTAATCCTCAAGTCAGCCCTATATTTTATTACTTTCATTTAAAAATCAGAACATCAAAGAAGATAGTGATATGCTGAAGGCAGCACACACAGGCACCCCCACGCCACCTGAAGTCTTTTCATTTACTCCAGATTTTCACAATGAAATTAAGAAGCCAAAGTGGCCTCTAAGGTCAAGAGGGAAACTAGGAACTCACTTAGCAAGAAAGGAGAAATGTGTAGAGTCCCACAGAAGTTGCAGTGTAAATATTAGTTATGTAGTTTTTCTAAGTATGTCTTTCCTATTTCATACCTTTTCAAAATAAAAACAACAGTTAAAACTGATCAGAAAACAGCCTGACCAGAAAACCTTACTCTAGGGTAGAAATGTGAGCAGTAAATCAGTTAATACATTACTAGGATCCATTCTATTGCTATCATTGCGAAGTAAGAAATTGGTACATTCAGAATTCTTTAAAACCATGTTAAGAAAATGTAGATGAAAACTGATGACCAAGTGGAAGATTTAGGATGTTGGCTTCTACTTGTTCTCAAACCAAATCAGCGTTGCCTTCTTACAGAAAGCTAGTAATGATGGTGGGTAATTCTCTTGCAGTGCCAGCAAATTTGCTGCCGTTGGCTTCCATAGAGCTCTGACATCAGAACTTGAAACCTTGGGGAAAACTGGAATCAAAACCTCATGTCTCTGCCCAGTTTTTGTGAATACTGGGTTCACCAAAAACCCAAGCACAAGGTGAGGTAGAAGTCAAGTTAGGATGAGAATATGGCATGAGAAATTGATATGAAATCTGTACAAGAAATCTTTAGGTGGATCAACTGAGAAAAATATGGAAAAAATGAACAAGGAAAAATATTTCTTCTTAATATTGTACTACCTTTAAGTTTTCACTTTGAAATTAGATGAATAAAGGGGGAAAATGCATTGATGACTAGCAGGAGTGACCGGCTGCCAACGAGTTAGGCAATGGGGTATTTATTTGCGTCCAGGTGAAAGGTTCAACACACTCAGGTGCCAAGAGGGAACGAGAGGGGGGTGGGACAGGCTGGAGAGGTGTGCTCAAGGATGTCAAGAGTGTCCTCTCCTAGAAGCCCCACCCCTAAAATGGATATTATGTAACATCCCCCTTGCCCATTCATGGTTTGTCCTCCTCAGACTATGGAAAAATACAAGTATATGCCCCCTTTCCATCTTCCATGGTGCTAGCATGAAGTACTCCAACATTTTTCAAACTGCTCTGATCCTAAGCATCCTCACCTGGGCTTCCATAGGAAATAAATGTTCTATCGGTCTTCCTTAGAGATTCTGATTGAGTAGGCCGAGATGAGCTCCAAGAATGAGACGTTTTGCTTTGCTTTGCTTTACAAGCATACCTGTACCTACCAGATAAGTCTGGAGACAGGTTTGGAGAACACTGATGTATTAAATATAACCACAGCATTTGATCACCATTACCTCCTTGTCCTCCATAAAAATGCAAATCCTCTTAGGAGCAGCAGTAAATTAGGCCCCTAACCCTTTTATCAAGATGAATTTCTATGAGAAGTTTATCTCTGGTAAGGGAGGATTTGAAACCGTAAGAGAGGAGAAAATGGTCCTGAAAGGAGACGGGGCAGGGGAGGGGGGGACACCAAGGCAGAAAGGTAAGGAGATAGTCCCTAAAATTCAGATACCCTCACAGATTTGCCTCGATTCTGGTATATATTCTGCTGTAGGTTAACAAAAGACGCTAAGCTTGCTCATCTGAAGCCAGTTTGGTACTAAAGGGGAACTAGTCCTCGATATATTCCTTCACAAGAGCTAACAAATTCTCCTTAAAACTTAGCCTCCTTTGAAGCCACTGATTCAGAGCTCCGGACTAGCTGTGTGGCCCCTGGAGCTGTGGTCCCCTGCAGGCAGTGCAGTTTTTAATAGTGCTAGACCACAGGCGCTTATTAAGTACACAGTATTTAACTAAATACCGCGGTATGACTGGGACTCTGGACTCAGTTTGCCTAAACTGCAAATTGGGCCAAATAAAACCCTTTTGGTAAGCATTCAGGACTAGTGTGCGCCAAGAGGACCAGGTCCACTGGTGGGGAAGACACAGTAGATGAGAACAGTAAGGCTAATGCGACCCCAGAGAGTGTGGAGGCCTGAGGGTGTGACCCTTAGGGGCTGATAGGCAATGCTGAAGATTGACCCAGAAAGCTGGATTCCGAATCCCCTTGGCAAAGGCTAAAATATTTATATACTAATGTCAAGCTTGGCTCAGACACTGGGTTAAAGAAACCAGGTAGGAAAACTCAGGGAGGGAAGAGGCAGAACCCAATAATTTAGAAAGGTATTGATTTATATTACTCTGTGCTGACTTGCTACTCAATGCCATGGAAACCTCCATCCCATAATAATCTGGAGTAAATCACAGAACATGTCAGGAAAGGAAGTTACAACTTAGCTCTTCTACCTTTTTCCATTCAGCCTGTGCCCAGACTTCTTAGTTTTGATGTAACACTTTCAGTCCATTTATATTTTAATTTCTTGTCATCATCTTGCACTAGTGGGTCTTCCACTCTGAGCCTGTGGTTTTAAATGCTTCTCGGGAACTCATGTACACAGTCTTCAGTATGTACAAGGTCACACCTCCAGAATGCAGTATACTCCCTGTGCGCATCTTGAACTCTCATTAAATTGTAACATAGGCAGTTCAGAGGTGGACTGCAAGAATTAGATGCCTTCAAAATAACCCAGTTTTGGGACACCTGGGTGGCTCAGTCAGTGGAGTGGCAGCCTTCGGCTCAGGTCATGATCCCAGGGTCCTGGGTTCGAGTCCCACATCCAGCTCTCTGATTGGGAGAGAGCCTGCTTCTCCCTCTGCCTTCTCATGTACATGAACTTGTACATGTTCACACTCACTCTCTCTCACACACAAATAAAATCTCAAAACAACAACAACAATCCAGCTTTATGGGGATAACTCCAGTAGAAACAAATTATGCTTAACAATAGCCTTGTATCCTGGAAGCCCTGAAGAAAGATGTCAGATATTTCCTTTCTGTCCCCAAAATAATCCTACCCACTACTCTTCCTTGCCTGGAACCTCTTCACCTCTATCATCTAATTCCTCTTCACCACTTGATAAATTTTTTAAAGATCTGTTTATTTATTAGAGAGCATGAACAGAAGGGACAGAGGGAGAAGGAGAGAGAAAATCCTCCAGCAGACTCCCTGCTGAGAGTAGAGCCCATTACGAGGCTCCATCCCAGGACCATGAGATCATGACCTGAGCAGAAACCGAGAGTCGGATGCTTAACTAACTGAGCCACCCGGCGCCCCTCCACCCTTTTGATATTTTGAGGGAGTGAGCCATTAAACATGCCCAGTGGATGGGAAAGTTTAAGATTGTGAGAACAAAACATCCCCATGTCATATGTGGGGCGGGTGGGAGCAGGTGGCATTTCTTCAGTGAATCCTAGAAACTTTTAAATCCTAATTTGGTATCATGATAAGTTAAATTTCCTGCCTTTGATAATTAAAGCAACAACAACAAAAATAACCAAACTTTTTTCTTCTTATCACAGACTGTGGCCTCTCTTGGAGACAGATACAGTTGCAAGAAGCTTGATAGACGGAATACTTACCAATAAGAAGATGATTTTTGTTCCATCGTATTTCAATATCTATATAGTACTAGACAAGTAAGTATAGCACGAAACATCTAAAATGCTAAAAACACCGATAGAGCTGTCATTATGATGAAGAGTATTTCAGCTGTGAAAGTTGCTGTGGAAACCCTCTCCCAGGCCTGGGGAGAACAGTTAAGTTTTCTCTGTTACTGCCTTATTCAGTCCCCCCAAAAAAGAATGATTCATTTTCTCTACCACATCTACCATCTCACTTTAATCTTTGCTAGAGACCATTCCAACTGAAGGAAAAACAGTTTAAAGAAAATGCAATATAGCTGAAAATAAAGGGTCTATTTAAAAGCCTACTGGAGTTTTGATGGAAGTTGCATTGAATCTATTGATCAACCGGGGAAGAATTGACATTAACAATAGTGAGTCTTCCAATCCAAGAAAACAAAGAACATAAAATATCTTTCCTATTTTTTCTCTTACCTTCTTTAATATCTCTACACAACATTTTATCGTTTTCAGCATACGGTCTTATACACCTTTTATCAGATGCATCCCAAAATTTTAATATTTTTTATGTTATTGCAAATGGCATTAAAAAAATTTCCTATTTCCCATTGTTTGTTACTAATCTGTGTTTGATTTTTGCATTTTGATCTTGTATTTAGCACCCTTGCAGAATTCATTTCTAGTAGTTTTTGTAGATTTTCACAGATTTTTTTTTTTACAGATTATTTCAGATGATCATATTGTCTGCAAATAAAGGCACTTTTACTTCTTCTTTACATCCAAGTATTCCTCTTAAGCTTAAGAGTATTAAGTATTTCACAATTAAGTATAACATTAGCTGTAGATGTTTTTTCATAGATGCTTTTTATCATGTTTAGGAAGTTCCCTTCTATTACTATTTTGATGAGCATTTTTATCAAATGCTTTTGCTAACTGTATTAAGATCATATTTTCTTTCATTTTCATTTCCATTTGTTGATATGGTACATTTTGCTGATTAATTTTAAAGAATAAATTACCCCTCCATTGTAATGTGTTTGTCTGATTTTTTATCAGTATAATATTGACCTCATAGAATGAGTTGGAAAGTATACCCTCCTCTTCCCTTTTCCAAAAGAGCTTCTGTGGGATTGGTATTATTTTTTCTTTAAACTTTTGGGAGAATTCACTAGTGAAGCCATCTGGGCCTATTTTCTTTGTAGAAAAGTTTTAACTACAACCTAATTTCTTTAAAACCTATAGGGCTATTCAGGGTACTTATTTGTTCTTGGTAATGTGTGTCCTTCAGGGAACTTGTCCATTTCATCTAAGTTGTCAAATTTATTGGAATAAATGTATTCATAATTTCCCTTATTGTATTTTTAATATATTTAGAATATCTCATGCCTGATATTGGTAATTTGTTTTTTTTATTTTTTATTCTCTTCAGTCTATCTAGTGGTTTATCAATTTATTGATTTTTTCCAAAGAACTAGCATTTGGTTTATTTTTTTTTTAAGGTTTTATTTATTTGACAGATCACAAGTAGGCAGAGAGGCAGGCGGAGAGAGAGAGAGAGGGAAGCAGGCTCCCTGCTCAGCAGAGAGCCCGATGCGGGGCTCGATCCCAGGACCCTGAGGTCATAACCTGAGCTGAAGGCAGAGGCTTAATCCACTGAGCCACCAAGGCACCCCAATTTTTTTACGTATTTTTTTAATTTTTCATATGTTCTATTTCACTAACTTCTGATCTTTATTATTTCTTTTATGATGACTATTTTCCATTTAATTTTCCCTTCTTTTTCTAGTTAGTGTGGAAACTGAGTTCATCTATTTTTTTCCTAGTATAGGCACTTAATGCTATAAAGTTCCCCTGTGTACTATTTTCAATTCTGTCTCTCAATTTCTAACATATTATGTTTTCATTTATAGTCTGTTCAGAATACTTTCTGATTTCCCTTTTGTATCATGGGTAGCTTAGAGATGCATTTTTTAGTTTCTAACTTTTTGGAGATTTTCCTGGTTTCTAATTTAATTACTTTTTAATGATATATTTGACAAGACACATACTATGACCTTGATATATGAGACAAGGTTAAGCTTGGAAAATGGTTTATTTTGGTAAGTGTTCCATGTGTACCCAAAAAGAATGAATAGAGTATTCCTTATTGTTGAGTGTTCTATAAATGTCAGCTTAGATCAAATTGATAGTGTTATTTTCTATTTTATCAATTATTGAAAGGAATCTCAATCTTTAACTATAATTATGAATTTGTCTATTTTCTTTGCTTTTCATTTTTGCTTCCTGTATTTTGAAGTTCTGTTATTATGTGCATTGCAATTAGGATTATTATGTCCTCTGGATGAATGAACAACTCTGTTATGTTGGAAATAACCTTATTTATCCCTGGAAATATACTTTGCTATGAAATCTACTGATATTAATACAGCCACTTCAGCTTCTTTAGATTAATGTTCTTAGTATATCTTGTTCTTTTCTTTTACTCTTAATCTATTTATCTCCTTATATTTGAAATGTGTTTTTGTAGGCAGTGTATAGTTCTTTTTTTTTAATCCAATTTGGCAATCTATGCCTTTTAATTGGGGGTATTTAGACTCTTTACATTTAATATGAATATTGACATAGTTAGATTTAAATCTTAGGTGTAAAGCTTGCTATTTGTTTTCTATTTATCCCATTTATTCTTGGTTCCTTTTTCTCTTTTTCTGCCTCCTTTTGGTTTAATTGAGTATTTTCATATTTCCGTATTATTTCATCTTTTGGGTTACTAACTATAATTATTTGTTTTGTTACTTTAGTTATTGCTTAGAATTCATAGTATGTGTCTTTAATTTATCACAGTCAATCTTCAAATGATATTATACCACTTTCTGTATAGTCTAAGAACCTTACAATGGCATACTTCTATCTCTCCCCTCTGACTTATGCTATGATTGTCATACATTTTAATTCTACATATGTTAAAAAACATACATTATGTAGTTTTTGTTTGTTTAAACAGTCAATATCTTTTTAGAGATATTTAAATAACCAGGTAAATTCTTAAATGTTATCCATTGGTTAACATTTCTGGTGCTCTTCATTCATTTGTGTAGATCCAGACTTCTATTGGGTTTCATTTTCCCTCTGCCTGAAGAGTATCCTTTAACACTTTCTCAGAGAAGTTCTGCTGGTTGTGAATTCTTTTGCTTTGTGTATGTTTAACAAATTCTTTATTTTGTCCTAAGCTTTGAAAGATATGTTTACTGAGTATAGAATTCTAGGTTGGTAGTTTTTTGTTTTTTGATACTTAAATGACATTCTCTGTCACCTCTATGACTTCTGTATCATCTCTGCTGGAGGCTGTTCTAACTAAAGCAAAGATTGTTTTTAAAGGAATATAGTAAAGTGATTAAGAATGAAGGCTCCACCTAAGATTAAAAACCGCTTTACCACTTATGGAGTGTTTTGACCATGGATGAGTTATTTAACCTCTGTGGCCTCAGGCTTTCCATATATAAAATGCAGATGGTGTTAATACCTCCTTTCTAAGCATACCATAAAAATACCAGAAGACAAGTGAAGCCCCTGCCATTAAAAACAACAACAACAATGCAGAAGTCAGATATTAAAGGCTTAGGAAGCAGAACTTGCATAACATTCTAGGAAAAAGGGCATCTGGATGGCTCAGTCTGTAGAGCATGCAACTCTTGATCTTGGGATTGTGAGTTCAAACCCAACAGTGGGTGGAGAGATTACTTAAAAATTAAAGAAAATGTTTAAAATATGCTCAGAAGAGATAGGAATATTTACCCAGAGGAGATAATCTCAGCTTTCTTTTGAAGGGCAGTTTATGATTGACTAAAATTGTATCAATGAGAAGATAACAGTGCTAACTTCTCAAGGCCTTGGGTCATTTTGAAAGCAATCCACATAAACGGTGCTACCTTGGAATGGAACAATCCAAGAATGGGGACAAACTTCATTGCTACATCAATTTCAATCTTCCATTTTAGCTTAAATAGACTAACTGAAATTAACATAACCTCAGCCTCATGGTAACATCATTTCAAGGATTGACTAAAGGTCTTGTTGCTAAGCAAATGTAAGAAAGGAGTTTCATGGGATTCCTCCTCTCTTGGGGCTCAAAACGGGTCATGTTAATGTTGAAAGAAATCAAAATCATAGCATATTTTCTTATGAACAAGGTACTAAGCATAGTCATCCTGTCAGGTTTGGAGAATAGGTATCCTTGTACAAGAAACAAGAGTCTCAAAGTCTTTGGTATTATTGTGGAATTGTCATGATGGTTACGTAGCAACAGGGACTTACCGTTTATCTTCTTCACATATAATTCCTTTTACAGAGATAGACAATGTTGTGAGCCGATGCAGTTACTAGCATGGAGGTTTCTTTGTGAGAATAGTTAAATAGTTCTACTTGTCTTTCTCCCAGCCAGAACTTCGTTGCCCCTTTGCTTATTCTATCCATTCAACCCCAGGCAAGGATGTAAATCTTGCATTAGTCAACACCAAAATGATTTTCTGTATGACTTTCTTTGCAGAATGTGTTATACCTTCCTTCTTAAATTCACACATACGCTCTTCCTTTCATCTGCCTGCTCAAATCTTACTCATCCTTGAACACTTTTGAAGTTTTCCTTCACTATTCTAACCCACATGAATTCTCCTCACAGTTATAGCCCTTAATTAGAGAAGGCTGGTATTTCTCATTCATTGCCTCCTATTAGCCTCTTAGCTCAACAATAAGCTGCTCAGGCCATAGCTGAGTACCTTCGTATAAGGTGTGTAACAGATAGTAAATATTTAAGGAGAAGTGAAGGGATGTAGGTTCGGCAGTCTTTCTGTGAATGCTTCCTATCAGGATTCATTGACAGTTTCAGCAGTAAGTCCAGCCCTTCAGTTTCACATCTTTATCATATAAAATCTCCTTTAATATTTCATTAATATGAGAAGGTTTTAAGAGTAGTATATGTCAGTGCTTTCTTTATATGTCCACAGTATTTGAATTACGAGTGTTAAAAGACACATGCACACACAGAGAGGGGTAGATGTGAAGGGAAAAAGGAGGAACACAGGAAGACTAAATGCAAACCAGATAACACTCCATAAATTTTAACGGACAACAAAAAAGAACTCTCATGTCAAAAATTTTTAATTGAGAATTTTTCATCTTTTTTTTTATACAGATTTCTTCCTGAACGAGCCTTGGCAGCTATAAATCATTTACAGAACATTCAATTTGAAGCAGTGATTGGCCACAAAACCAAAATGAAATGAATAATTGAGCTCCAGCCAGAGATGTACGCACCTTAACAATGTAAATCTAAGTTTAGAATCAATGCATCAAAGCTTAATTTCACATTTTTCAATACTGTTAATATTAAAAACATTGGTTTGACATTAGCAGCGCTCAAATGAATGAGACTAATTACCTGTCTTTCTCAAGAATATTAATGTAGCTCTAACAAATCCATTTTTCATCCCATGCTTCTTAAAAACTTCTGTGCTTACATACACATACTCAAAAAGCCACTCTTCTTAAGATATTTTATTTCTTTTCTTTCTGCTTCGAGGGGAACAAGGCTACCTCCCTGAGAGTAAATACAAAGTGAACTTATTTACACAGGAAAGGCCTAAGACCTTGTCAACACGTACGCTAGTTGTTGTGACCTAGCAGTTGGAGATGAAGTTTAAGGAGGCGGTAGTCCTCCAAAGGACAAAGAGTTTAGTTCTATGAAATTCAACATATGGAAGCTTTCTCTAGCTTCTCCCATTTCATCAGTCCAAAACAGTGCAACTAGTTTCTTGCTTGATTCTGTCCTTTGTATAGCTCTTATGTCCACCAGGAGTAGACACTCTACTTTCTGCCCTTTTCATAACCTCTTAAAATACTGTGCCATACAAAAGGTGACCCTCTCTTGAATCTCAGGATATCTGAAATTTTAACCCCATGATAACTTCCTTCTTTGTAGCTTGTGCTTTCACATATCATTGGTATCAGAGATGTTTAGATAGTTTTGAGCTTCAAAAATAAAAACTAACAGAGAAAGGAGTTAGGCTGACTACCTAATACTAGACAGTGGATGTAAGAGATGAAAGAGTGGTATCTTTTTTAAATAGAAAAAAAAATCTGATTCCCACTACATCAAGAGTAATCTTATTTCAGGGTTTTTCTCATATGATGCTTTTATATCAACTATCTGCCTGTTTTTATTTAAAATGATAGATTAAAAACTAATCATTAATAAAAATTTCTTAAAAACAAATGACAAGTATGTTGTGCTTTTAAAAAATAATCTCTTGGGTGCCTGGGTGGCTCAGTTGGCTAAGCAACTGCCTTTGGCTCAGGTCATGATCCTGGAGTCTCGGGATCAAGACCCACATCGGGCTCCCGGATAACCAGGGAGTCTCCTTCTCCCACTGACCTCTCTCCTCTCAGCTTTCTCTCTCTCATTCTCTCTCTCTCAAATAAATAAGTTAAATCTTTTAAAAATTAAATAAATAATAAGCCTCTTGTGGTTATTAAATAGAGATTTGATTTCTAATCTCTCAGTCTCAATGAATCTCCTTCAGAAAGCAAGGATCTGGATGGTGACAGCTAGAACCTGCAGATACTAAGGGGTCCTGGGGTTCTCTCAGCTTTGTCTTCTTTGACAGCAGGAGTGTTGGTTTATCAAATGACTTACTGAACCCTTTCTGTGTGTGGCACTGAGTGAAGTATTACTGTTTGAGATTTTTTTTTCCTAGCTACTTTGGCAATAATTTTTATTCATGATGATGTTTTATTTTTTAATTACTTTTTAAAGATTTTATTTGTCAGAAGAGAGCACAAGCAGGGGGAGAGGCAGGCAGAGGGAGAAGCAGACTCCTTACCTAGCAAGGAGCCCAAGGCAGGACTCGATCCCAGGACCCTGGGATCATGACCTGAGCTGAAGGCAGACGGTTAGCTGACTGAGCCATCCACGTGCCCCCGTGATGACATTTTAATTCCTTGTTTTAAAACTAAGAACTGTAGGGACGCTTAGGTGGCTCTGTTGGTTGAGTGTCTGCCTTTAGCTCGGGTCATGATTCCACGGTCCTGGGATCGAGTCCCACGTCAGCTCCCTGCTCAGCAGGGAGTCTGCTTCTCCCTCTGCCTGCCTCTCTCACTCTCTGTGCTCTCTCTCTCTCTCACTCTCTGACAAATGAATAAATAAAATTAAAATTTAAACTAAGAACTGTATAAGTGAAGCTTAAAATGTGTTATTTTAAAAGTATGATTACAAAATTTCAAAAGAGAAATATGTAAAGTAGAAAATATAAGCCTACCCCCCCACAATCCCATTCCTCAGAGGTCAGGCTATTAATGCACAACCTTCTGGTCATTTTAAAATGCATATATATGATAAATACATTACATTCTTTTATTATGTGTTATTGTATGTGTTACATAATAGGTTGATAACATGCATTATATTCTGTAACGTGTTTTTTTTTAACTTACCAATGTACAAACAGCCTTTTCTTTCAGTAGAGTTTAACCTCATCCTTTTTCTTGGGCTTACAGTACTAAATGATATTATAATAAACAATCCCTTTGTAACAGACATTTTTAATGTTTCCAATTTCTTATTGCTCAACAAATCCAAAAAGATTGAAATAATACCATGCATATTTTCCAACCACAACAATATGAAACTAGAAATCCGTCACAGGAAAAATCTGGAAAGAATACATATATATAGAAGCTAAGTAACATGGAACTAAACAATGAATGGATCACCCAAGAAATCAAAGAGGAAATAAAAAAAAAAATACATGGAGACAGGGGCACCTGGGTGACTCACTCAGTTGAGCATCCAGTTCTTGATTTTGGCTCAGGTCATGATCTTGGGATCCTGAGATGGAGCCCCGTGTCAGCCTCTGCACTCAGCATGGAGTCTGCTTGAGTTTCTCTCTCCCTCTGCCCCTCCCCAACAACTCTCATAGTCTCTCTCTCAAATAAATAAATAAAATCTTTAAAAAAAAATACATGGAGATAAATGAAAAGGAAATTACAATGGTCCAAAATCTTTGGATGCAGCAAAAGATGTTTGAAGAGGGAAGATTACAGCGGTACAGACCTACCTCAAGAAGCAAGAAAAACCTCAAACAACCTAATCTTACACCCAAAGGAACTAGAAAAAACCAAAAGCCAGTAGAAGAGAGGAAATAACAAAGATTAGAGCAGAAATAAATGAAATAGAGACCCCCCCAAAAAAATCAAAAACAAAACAAAAACTCGAATAGGGCAAGGAAACCAAGAGCTAGTTCTTTGAAAAGATCAAGAAAACTGATAAACATTTAGCCAGACTCATGAAGTGTGGAGGGTGGGTGGGCATCAAATAAAATCAGAAACGAAAGAGGAGAAATAGCAACCAACACCACAGAAATACAAAGGATTATAAGAGAGTATTCTGAAAAGTATATACCAACAAATTGGACATCCTTAAAGTAATGGATAATTTCCTAAAAATATGTGACCTTCCAAAACTGAATCAGGAAGTAGTAGAAAAATGTAACCAGTTTGTTCAAATGAAACTGAATCAGTGATCAAAGACTCCCAACAACAATAAACTCCCAACAACAAAAGTCCAGGACCAGATGGACTCACAAGTGAAACTATCAAATATTTAAAGAAGAGTTAATATCTATTCTCAAATTATTCCAAAAAAACAGAAGAGGAATAAAAGCTTCCAAATTTATTCTACAAAGCCAAGATTGCCCTGATACCAAAACCAAAAAAAGACACTACAAAAAAAAAGGAAAAAAGAAAGAAAACTACAGTCCAATATCTCTGATGAACATAGATGCAAAAATCCTCAACAAAATATTAGCAAACTAAAAATAACAATACATTTTAAAAAATCAGCATGATCAAGTAGGATATATTCTCAGGATTCAGAGGGTGTTTCAATATTCACCAATGTGATACATCTCATTAACAAAAGAAAAGATAAAAAACCTATGATCATTTCAATAGATGCAGAAAAAGCATTTGACTAGATTCAATATGTATTCAAGATAAAAAAAAAAACCTCTCAATAAAATGGGGCTAGAGGGAATATACCTCAACATAATAAATGTTGAATATTTAAACCTATAGCTAACATTATAATCAATGGTGAAAAACTGAGAGCCTTACTTCGAAGATCAGGAACAAAACAAGGATGTCCACTCTCACCACTTTTATTCAAAATGGTACTAAAAGTCCTAGGTGCAGCAGTCAAGCAAGAAAAAGGAAATAAGTGTATCCCAATTAGTAAGGAAGAAGTTAAACTATCACTATTTGCAGATGACATACTATTTATAGAGAAGTTTAAAGATTCCATCAAGAAACTACTAGAACTGGGGCGCCTGGGTGGCTCAGTGTGTTAAACCTCTGCCTTTGGCCCAGGTCATGATCCCAGGGTCCTGGGATGGAGCCCCGCATCGGGCTCTCTGCTCAGCAGGGAGCCTACTTCCCCCCCCTCTCTCTCTGCCTGCTTCTCTGCCTACTTGTGATCTCTCTCTCTCTCTCTCTCTGTCAAATAAATAAATAAAATCTTAAAAAAAAAAACTAGAACTGAAAAAAATTCAGTAAAGTCACCGGATATAAAATTAATATACAGAAATCTATGGCATTTCTATGCACTAAAAATGAAATAGCAGAAAGAAATTAAGAAAGCAATTAAGAAATTAAGAAATTAATTAATAATTAATACTAATTAAGAAATTAAGAAAGCAATCTTATTTACAATGGCACCAAAAAGAATAAAACACCTAGAAAGAAATTTAAGCAAGAGGTGAAAGACCTACGCTTTGAAAACTATAAAGCTTTGATGAAAGAAATTGAAGATGACCCAAACAAATATTCCATGCTCATGGATTGGAAGAACCAATATTGTTTAAATGTCCATACTACCCAAAGCAATCTTCAGATTTAATCTTCAGACCTTCAAATTTTATCAAAATACCAACAGCATTTTTCATAAAACTAGAACAAATAACCCTAAAATGTGTACGGAACCACAGAAGACCTAAATAGACAAAGCAATCTTGAAAAAGAAGAACAAAGCTGGAGGCAACACAATCCCAGGTTTAAAAATATGGTACAAAGCTGTAGTAATCAAAAACAGTATGGTATTAGCACAAAAATAGATGCACAGGTCAGTAGAACACAATAAAGAGCCCAGAAATAAACCCACACTTACGTGGTCAATTAATCTACAACAAAGGAGGCAAGAATATGCAATGGGAAAAGACAGTCTCTTCAACAAAAGGTGTTTGGAAAACTGGATAAGCTTCATGCAAAAGAATGAAATTGGACCATTTTCATAGACTATACACAAAAATAAATTCAAATAAAGATCTGAAACCACAAAACTCCTAGAAGGAAACAT